GATTTGGCCTGGGTTGCAGAACAGGCAGTGACCCAGACTGGCTATGCCCCAGAACTGGTTCCCCAGTCTCTTCTCCCATTGCCGGCATGTTGCTGCGCATGCGCAGAACAATTTACAGTCAACCGTGCACGTGCGAGCAATGCACAGCGCATGTGTGCGTGAAGTGAACTGGTACCAACCGGTACAGGAACTCAGCCCTGCTATATACCATTTGGAAAAATGAAGTTCTCAGGGATTTCAGAGGCTGGTCAGGTATTAAATTTTAGCAAAATTTGGATCCATTTTGCATTGGATTCCAAGATCTCTCCCCCACCCACCCATTCAACCAACAATAACCAACAAGAACTCTGCAGAGATATATTGATATTATTGAAATTTCCCCATTTGTCTGCAAAATGAAGACAATTGTCTGTTAAATGGGGATAAACTTCAGTTTAAATTATCTATGTTTAATCTGAAATCTAATGTATTGTCATTTATTGAATTGAGGTTTGACTCTATTACGGAAATGGACCGAAGCTTTGAACTAACAATTATGATTCATTACTGTACCTCTAACGAACAATTCAGTAGAACATTTCTCATCTCCAGCTGTGACATGATAACGGGCATCATCTGTCATCTGGCAGTTGTTGATAAATAGGATTCGCTCATTACCTTTGTGTTCAAATATGTATCTATGGGGAAATGGCAGATTAAGAAAGTTGGAATTATTAGAAGATGTAATTATTCTTCAACCTTCAGATCCTAAGTGGGTACTTCACTGTAAAGTGATTGATGCAACAGGAGGTATTCAAAAACACTTATCTAATTAGGTCACTGTGTCTGGCATGCAGGTTCCTTTTTTAAACTGTAGATAGATAGGCTGTGTGAAGTTAGGGATCATAGTAGCAATTTGGAGGTGGATATATTTAGCCCTTTCCTTCTTGCTGTAGTCTTGATAACAATGAGAGATTTTCCTCCAAAGAAAAATGATTCCCTTGTCTCTTCTCCGGCGGATATTTTTTGTACCCAATTCCTCCACTTCCACTTGTCCAGTGCTTTTGGGTCCAAGACTGATGCAAGGACAGATCTAACATTTGGCCTTAAAATTTCATGGGGAAACATGCAGTGCAAACTTCAAGAGTTCTGAACACAACAGTGGTTGAAACCTTAGCTCGGGGAAGATGGAAATAACCGTAACAGGAGCCTAGTTCCATTGCTGCACTCTTGACATATTTCCAAAAGTACAATAATAGCTGGGGCAAAGCAGCCAACATTTCTGGTAGGCCATATGGCTCAAGGGGTATGTAATGGGATATGGTGCCTTTCACCTTAAGGTCATTGGTTCACATTTGTTTCAGGTCAATAATGACCAAAGCTTATTGCCATCCTGCAGCTGTTCAATAGTCTGGACTTGATGTATTCAGGCCAGTTAGTTCTTAAGAGAAGTTCTTGGAGAAGAAAGCATTGAAAGAGACACAGACTGTATTTTGGAAGTCGAAATTATTTCACACTTGGCTCAGAAAGTTAACTTAAAAGACCCAGTGGAAGGCTATATTGCACCTTATGCCACCTTTAATCCAATATTAAACACTGAACTAAAGGGGTTCTAGTCACTCAAACTAATTTCTCAGAGGTCCTGTTAACTAACTCATCTTACTTCCTTGCTCCTTCTAGATTTCTTTGCTAATGAACCGTGATGGAGAAAGCTTCCACAAAAACAAGGAACTACTGCAGTAATCTTCACTGAATTTTTAAAGGCAGAGCTAAACATATTGGTTTAGCGGAATTCACCCCGCCTCAATACTTATGCTGAAAACTACCAACATACCACAGAATATGGTGCAAATGTTACAGTTCTCTAAAAACATTTGTCATGGAGAGGGAAGAATACAACATGTAGATTTAATCTCAAGATGAATGAGGCTTCACATGTTTGTGGGGCCCAGTTTCTGGCATATCAGAAACCGTGCCATATCGTGGACTGGTGCCAGTCCACAGACTGGGGGTTGGGGACCTCTGGTATATTGGAAAAGGTGAAAACTATGAGTAAGGAGACACAAGGTGACTAGGAGTAAAGGGGACCCTTAAGAATGGAAGTCAGCTGAGTAACTTTGGACCAGTCACTCTCTCCAATTCTTAGTCTGGGAAGTTGACAAAACATGCCAAAAGCAGACAACGGCAAACCACTTCCATGATATTGCAAAACAAAAAACCAACACACAATGGACCTGTCCAGACAATCACCAAGAGTCAAAACTGATTCTAAACCAAACCAAACAGATGAATAAAACTTAAAACTGCATAGCAAATAAATAAAGCCATGGTGGCTTGTCCCTAGGCCCATATACTCCTGAATATCTTTTCACTAATGCCTAACATGCAACCATGATTACATCACCAATAGAATAGGAATAAGAAATATTCTTTATACTTAAGTCAATGCAAATACTTACTTTCCACTTGGCCGTATTTCTTGGCCATTTTTATACCACTTCAGTTCAACTGTTGGATCAGCCAGCTCCACCGCAAACCTTACTTTACCTCCTTTGTCCACTTGATAAGCAGGGTCCAGAATCTTAGAAAAGGCTGTTGAGTGAAAAAAGAGAATGGACACTGGCAGTAAAAAACAATGCCAATCGAAGTGAAATATTCTAGCTGACTTAAATTTTTTTTTTTATTATTATAGTAGGGTTTCCCGATCTGAACTGCAAATCTGAAGGTGAATATTACATGATAGCAAAGAGAAGCAAACAACCTCACTAATATCTTGTTCTCATCTGTATTTTTGCAGCCAGTACATGCAGAGTAGAAATACAGATGAGATAAAAATGAACTTTATCTATACTCTAGATAAATATGAACTTCTTCATGAATTAACATTTTCTCCCCAAAACTCAATTTGGACAGGGACAGGAAAGGAAGAATCCTGATTTCCCCAAGTTATTGTAATTGTGTATTTTGGCATTTCAGTGCCTCTTTCTACATAATCAGAACCATTTCAAACATGTGGAGCTCTGGAGATCCAGTCTTAACTGCATTGTGTGTAGTGTGAAATGGTTTGAAAATAAAGAGAAAGAGCCAGAAGGCAGATTTGGGAAGCATACTAAGATAATGGTATAGACCTGGCCTGTACTTCCCTTTTATTCTTTCATATTCAGAGAAATATGTGAAGGAGAAACTGTTGAGTTGTCATTGATAATGGAGCTGGATACTTAAACTGATAATGTACATCAGGGATGTCAAACTCAATTTCATTGAGGGCC